GTTAGTTTTGAAAGACCATGGCTCTAGTCCTGCCTATATTTCTATCAGAACATTCTCTCTCTTACACTTTGTAAGTAGAATTCTCATTTTCCTATATAATTTAGAAGTCATCACTCTTGTAGCCAAGCTTATGGCTCAGCTGGTTAAGCAGCCGCCTGCAGTGCCAATATCCCATATGAGTGCTGGTTTAAGTCTCCACTGCTCTACTTCCAATCCACCTCCTGGGAAAGCAGAAGATGGCCTGAATACCTGGGCCCCTGCCACTCACATGGGAGACCCAGCTGGAGTTCCAGGCTCCTAGCTTCGGCCTGGCCCAGCCACGGAGTTTGCTACCTTTTGGAAAGTGAACCAGCAGATAGAAAATCTCTCTCTCTCCCTGAAACTTTCAAACAAACAATAAATAAATGTTATTAAAAATAAAATGTTGCGGCCGGCACTGTGGCATAGGAGGCTAAGCTTCTGCCTGTGGTGCAGGCATCCAAAAAGTGTGCGGGTTCATGTACTGGCTGTTCCTCTTCTGATCCAGCTCTCTGCTATAGCCTGGGAAAGCAGTGGAAGATGTCCAAGTGCTGGGGCCCCTGCACCTGCATGGGAGACTCGGAGAAGCTCCAGGTTCCTGGCTTCAGATGGGCCCGCTCCAGCCACTGCAGCCATCTGGGGAGTGAACCAGCGATTGGAAGTCCTCTCTATCTGTCTCTCCCTCTGTCTATCTATAACTCTACCTCTCAACTAAATAAATAAAACCTAAAAAAAAATTTTTTTAAACATAAAATAAAAAGGTCATCACTCCTCCTCATAACAATGAAAAAGCTGAATAAACTGAAAAATCAATTCTTAGATCCATCAGACTACATAAAGGAAAAAAGTAAAAAGGAATAAATGATAGCAAAATACAATCTTTAATTTTTTTCTTATTCTTCATAAATCTAACATAATAGTTTGTTCAAAATAGTAATAACAAACATACATTGGGTGAGTATAGCTTATAGAAAAGTGAATGAATTACAACAGTAATAGAAGATAACACAGAAGAAAACCTAAGTGTCTGAGAGTTTGCTGATATCTGCTTTTTTGGAGGGGGGAGATTTGTTTATTTATTGGAAGAGTTACAGAGACAGGCAGAGGGAGAGACAGAGAGATCATCCATCCACTGGCTCACTCCCCCAAAGGCTGCAACAGTCAGGACTAGGCCAGGCTGAAGCCAGGAGCTTCCTCCAAGTCTCTCAAGTGGGTGACAGGGTCCCAAACCCTTGGGCCACCTTCTGTTGTTTTCTCAGGCCATCAGCATGGAGCTGAATCAGAAGTGGAGCAGCCAGGGATTGAACCAATGCCCACATGGGATGCTAGCGTCACAGGTAGCGACTTAACCCGCTGTGCCACAACGCCAGCCCCTAGATGATGATTTTTAAGATATAAAACCAAAAACATAGCCCACAAAAAGCAAATTGATAACCTGGACTTCATTAAAATTAAAAACATCTGCTCAAAAAAAGACTATTAACCATAGACTGTGAAAAAATATTTCTAAAACAGACACTTGATAAAGAATTGAATCTCAAAAAATTCAAAAATCTTTTAAAGCTTCACAATAAAAAAAAGCCATCCAATTTTTTAAATGGGCAAAAAGATTTAAGTAGAAATTTCAAAAAAGAAGATATAAGTGGCAAATAGCCAAATGAAAAAATGCTGCACATCTGTCATTCAACAACTGCAAATGAAAACAAGATATTCCACACTTTTATTAGAATGGCTAAAATCTAAAAGAATGGGATCACCAATTGCTGGAAAAGATGAAGAGCAACAGGAGCTCTCAATCATTGTTGGTGGGAATCCAAAAAGATAACAACCACTGTAGGAGACAATGTGAAAGTTTCTAGTAAAGCTAAACATAAGCTAATCATGTGATACAATAATCATGTTCCTGGGTATTTACCTAAATGAATAAAAAACTTGTCCACACAAAAACTGCAAATGGAGGTTTTTTAAAAACTTCATGTAATCACTTGTCAGCCTTTTGGCTAAGATGAATTGTAAAATTTTATTTATTTGAGAGGCACATGTGCCCTCACACATGGGAGCAGAGGTGAGGTTAGAGGGGTAGAGAGAGATTCCATCTGCTAGTTTACTCCCCAAATGCCTTCAAAGGCCAGGGCTGAGCCAAGCCAAAGCTGAGAGCTGGGAAATTAATCTGGATCACCCATGCAGGTTACTTAGGGCCTCCCAGGATGTATACCAGCAGGACGATGGAATGAGAAGTACAGCCAGGACTCAAAGCCGGGCACTTTGGCATGGAATGCAGGCGTCCCAAGTGGCATCTCAACCACTAGCGCAAGCACCCACCTCTGGTACATTAATGTCTACAATACTTTCATAAGTAACTGTCAAAAGTGAGATGTGATTCAGTCCTTCAATAGATGAATAAACAAACTGGGGTTTTCCATCAGTGGAATAATATTCAGTGATTAAAAAAGAAATGTGGTGGGGCCGGCACTGTGGCTCACTTTTTGTCCTCTTCCCTGTGGCGTTGGCATCCCATATGGGTGCCGGGTTCTAGTCCCGGTTGCTCCTCTTCCAGTCCAGCTCTCTGCTGTGGCCCGGGAGGGCAGTGGAGGATGGCCCAGGTACTTGCGCCCCTGCACCTGCACGGGGGACCAGAAGGAGGCACCTGGCTCCCGGCTTCAGATTGGTGCAGCGCACCAGCCATAGCGGCCATTTGAGGGGTGAACCAACGACTTTCTCTCTGTCTCTCTCTCACACTGTCTAACTTTGCCTGTCAAATAAAATAATAATAATAATAATAATGTGACATCAAGCCACAGAAAACAAGAAGTAGCCATAAATGTATATTGCTAAGTGAGAGAAGTCATTTTGAAAAGGCTATATACTTCAAAAAGTTCATGGAAAATAAAATGAAAGGTAAGTTTTATTTGGTGCAAATGTCAGTATCAATTCACAGTTTTTTCACAATATGCATTTTCTCTGAGCTTTTTGAAGTCTCTTGCACTGAATGATTCCAAAAACATGACATCTAGAAAACGCAAAACTAGATTAAAAAGATCAAAGGTTGCCAGTGGTTGGTGGGGGCAGAGGGAGGAGCATAGAGAGAATGAATAGGTTGAGGAAGGTGCTTTTTAGGATGGTGAAACTGTTCTGTATGATACCATGACAGCAGATACATGACAATATGCATACGGCAAAACCCATGGAAATCTACAACACAAATGCAAACCCTAATCTAAAATACAGACTTTAGTTAATAACTGGTTCATCAATTATTATAACAAATTTACCAAACTAATCCAAGATATTAAAATAGGAGAAACTAGAGGATGAAGCAAGAACTCAAACTACTTTAAAATGTAAGATCTATTAAAATTTTAAAAAGAGTTTAAAAAATTTAAAGTAAAAAACAACAACATCAACAAAAGTCAAGTCTCTGGAAATAGAAATATATCCTGTGATTGGCAGCTACTGAGTATGAAATTTATCATTAGAGACTAATTTCTACTGAAAATATTTCAGCCAAAAAATGTGAACATCTTTGTGTGTCCTGCTATTACCAAGAGATAGACATAATGGATTTAAAACATTTATCTATAGAATCTTCAACTTCTGTAAAATTGCAGTAGGTAGTTAACAGCAGGGAATTCAGCAAATAACAGAAAATGATTGAGTCCAACATATGGCTTACTGCCTGACTAAATCTTTTTTCCCCTCAACCTGTAAAATTTTTATTCTACTTCTCTAAAGATGATGAAAAATATGAAAACAGAAATATGCCAAAGGTTCCCAGAGAGGGCTGGGGTAAAATGTTTTTCAACAACTTTGCTTCAATCATTCCATCATTCCTTCAATCAAAAGCAAAGAGGTACTAAATCAAACATGATTAAGAGATCAGTTAATTCACTATTCATCTGCTAATTCATTATAAAATATTTACAAAACATAAAGTGTATATGATAGGAAGTTACTTGGAAAAATAAGGCAGATTTGCAATAGCATTTTATGCTGTCAACTCAATGATTCTCCTATTTTCAATTTTTATATGCAGATTAGTATTCAATTTTTGAAAACTCCAGGTGTGTGAGCTCTTTTGAATCAGAATTTCTATAAATAAGCTTCAAGCTCTCTATTTCTAAGCTTCCAAGTTGATACTCATGCACCTCAAAATTTAAGTATCACATAGTCTGTAAACCTGGAAAATATGACAACTTCAAGAATAATTATAATACATTCAGTAAAATGTTAAAAGGAAATATTTGGAAGACAGAAAAACATTTTCATAAGCAATAACATACTATAATAAAAATATGCATTCAGTTACAGATGAGAACCACAGAGACAAAACTGGTATAATTTCCTTCTTTAATTTCTTTTTTTTAAGATTTTATTTACTCATTTGAAAGGCAGAGTTAGAGAGAGAGGAAGAGACAGAGACAAGTATCTTCCATTTGCTGGTTCACTCCCCAAATGTCTACAATGGTCAGGGCTGGGCCAGGCTGAAGCCAGGAGCCTAGAACTTCATTCAGGTCTCCTACATAGGTAGCAGGGGCACAAGCATTTGGGGCATCTTTTGCTGCCTTTCCAGGTGCATCAGCAATGAGTTGGATCGATAGCAGAACAGCCAGTACTCGAACCAGCACTCATATGGGATGCTGGTGTTTCAGGCTGAGGCTTAACTCGCTGAGGCACAATGCCGGCCCCTGGTTTGTAATAATTTCTTGCTTTAGTAAAAATTCCTGTCACTGATTAACACTATAAAGCAAATTTTAAAAGTCCTGGTTGGTAGAAAAAAAATCTTGGTTGAATATCTTTAAACTAGGTTTAGTAACTAAAAGGCTTTCCAATATACTAAAAACCCCAAGCCTATTGCAAGAGGGGCATTCACTCTTTAAAGCTCCATATGAACAACAAACATCATTAGTGCATTATTATTATTATCAAGTTGGTAACAATTATTTTAAAAAACAGATAATCAATTTATTTTCTGTACCAGTTACCTGCAAAGAATAATGAAGAACTTGACAAGCAAAATGGACAAGGCCTGTTGTTGTTCCTCTAACCCATCGGCCATTTTCTGAACACACTGGAGGAGCTGGATCCTCAGAACCTGCAGAATATTATCAGGAAGCAGAGATATTCCTGGAGGCATATCATCTACCCTACAATATAAGGGGAAAAAATTAAGAACAGTACTGTAATATAAGAAAAAAAACTCTGTCACTTCAATGAACCACATTTTCAACTCTAAAGAAGTTCTTTTATTCTTCCTACATAGCTCTGTGCCTTCTCATTTACAAGGCATCACCAGATGATCACCAGAGCTAAGCAATGAGTTTGACTTCAGAGGAGTCTTGCTGAGGAAGGAGTAGGGGGAAAGGTAAGCAAGGGAGGCACAGAGACCAGGCAGACAAGGAGAAGAAAACCTGAGATGGGGAAGGGAAGACAGAAAGAGAGAGGCTAGTATCCTTAGTTGCTTTTATTTTTAATTGAAATATTTAGAATTTATTTTAAGCTTTATTTGTTTATCAGAAAGGCAGAGTTACAGAGAGGGAGAAGCAGAGACAGAGAGAGGTCTTCAATTTGCTGGTTCACTCCCCAAACGGCTGCAATGGCCAGGGCTGGGCCAGGCCAAAGTAAGGAACCAGGAGCTTCTTCCAGGTCTCCCACATGGGGCAGGGGCCCAAGGACTTGGGCCATTGTCGACCACTCTCCCAGATGTATCAGCAGGGAGCTAGATTGAAAATGCAGCATCCAGGACTCAAACTGGCACCCATATTGGATGCTGGTGCTGCAGGTAATAGCTTTACCTGAGATGGCCACAGTACAAGCTCCATATATATACTATTTCTAAAGAAATCATAACTAAGGCCGGCGCCACAGCTCACTAGGCTAATCCTCCGCCTTGCGGCGCCGGCACACCAGGTTCTAGTCCCGGTCGGGGCACCAGATTCTGTCCCGGTTGCCCCTCTTCCAGGCCAGCTCTCTGCTGTGGCCAGGGAGTGCAGTGGAGGATGGCCCAAGTGCTTGGGCCCTGCACCCCATGGGAAACCAGGATAAGTACCTGGCTCCCGCCATCGGATCAGCACGGTGCACTGGCCGCGGCGGCCATTGGAGAGTGAACCAACGGCAAAAGGATGACCTTTCTCTCTGTCTCTCTCTCTCACTGTCCACTCTGCCTGTCAAAAAATTTAAAAAAAAAAAAATCATAACTAGTGAATAAAAATAAAGTATATAAAAAAGTTTAGCATTGTGTAACTGAATGTAAGCTCCCATGACTAAATGACTTTATAGCAGTCTCTTCTGCAGACAATGTTTAATGTGAAATACGACTAACATTTTTACATTCAGTAAAAGACCACTTGATTCACTGCAGACAGAATAATTTGAAGCATATCACTAGTAATCACACAAATTCACATGATAAATATATTTTGCCTCTTTCTGAACCATTCTACAACATAAAGGAAGTGTTTTATAAAATGAACACCTTATTTTAATTAAATTACACAGAAAATAAACCATAAAGAACATTACAAAGACTGCCAAATTCTACTATCAAGTTACAGAAATACCATGTCTCATTTTGGCTTTGGCACCATGTCACTTGCAGCTTTGGATTCTTTAACTGTCTCTCATTTATAGGCAGTACCAGAAAACCTCTCATTTTTAACACAGTCTTCTCCTAACAAACTAAAAAGTAGTGGCTAGAAAAATCATTGTTGCTTCCAGAGAATAAACAAACACTTAAACATAATTTTCAAGACCAAGCTAAACTATTTCTTCCTACTTCTCCAAAAACATGTCACCAAAACGAAAACATTAGATTTCTAATATTTCATCCTATTTATTTTTTACATAATTTTTAAAGATTTATTTACATGAGAGGCAGAGTTACACAGAGAGGGGGAGGCAAAGAGAGAGAGAGAAAGAGATCTTCCATCCACTGGTTCACTCCTCAAATGGCTATATCAGCTGGGGCTGGGCCAGACCAAAGCCAAGAGCCAGGAGTTTCATCCAGGTCTCCCACATGGGATGCAGGGGCCCAAGCACTTGGGCCCTCCTCTGATGCTTTCCTAGGCACATTAGCAGGGAGCTGAATTGGAAGTGGAGCAGCCAGGACTCCAACTGGCACGGCTATGGGATGCTGACATCGCAGGTGGTAGCTTAACCTACTAAGCCACAGCACAGCCCCCATCCCAATCCCAGTTATTTAAAAGAGTATTTCCAGCACCAGCATCCCACATGGGTGCCAGTTTGTGTCCTGGCTGCTCCACATCTGATCCAGCTCCCTGCTACTGGCCTAGGAAAGCAGCAGAGGATGGCCCAAATCCTTAGGCCCCTGCACCTGCCTGGGAGACGTGAAAGACGCTCCTGGCTTCAGATCAGCTCAGCTCCAGCCATTGCGGCCATTTGGGGAGTGAACCAGAGGATGGAAGACCTCCCTCTCTGTAACTCTTTCAAATACATAAAATAAATCTTTTTTTAAAAAAAGTATTTATTTTTGCCCTTGGTCTTCACATTCTCTAATTTGTACCTTTTTTTTAAAATAAATAGACAGTCTAAAAATTTAGCTTCTAAAAGAAGAGTATGTTTACTAATTCTCATTGTAAAAGTAAGGCTTAATTAGAATGGTTTAGAGATGAAGTTGAGATTTTGGGCCATGTTCCTAAAGTAATGAGCACTGTAAGAACTTGGAAGCATTTTCCCACCTCTGGGGCTTTACTGTCCAAAATTCCATCCTCCTTTTGGTGCAATTTCCTAAACTTCAGAAATCTGTTTCATGTCTCCTCTTGGCTGTTGAATGTCTATTGTGAAAAGCAACTATTGGTTGTCTGTGTCTAACACGAAGAAGTCTAAAGTCTGAGGTTTTAAATTCTGGTAGAAAGCTCTGTCTGTGTTTTGAATTCTTTCCTTGGAAATTCTTTAAAGTCAGCTTAAATGAGGATTATGATTTTCTCATCATTAAGGTGATGTGACTAACAATATACTATCTTGCAAATAACATCCAGTTGAATTTTTAATGCTTTTACTAGTAAAATCTATTATTCATGGTTTAGGATTGGGGAGGTATTCATTTGTTTCTGACAGGCAGAGAAACAAATAGAAAGAAAAGTTTTCATCCATGGTTCATCCCCCCTCCCCATTCTAGCAATGGCTGGGATGGTATAATATTGAAGCTCGGAGCCTAAAACTCAACCCAGGTCTCCCATGTGGGTAGCAGGAATCCAATTACTTGAAAAATCACTGCTGCCTCTCAGGATCTGCATAAGCCAAGCAGTTCAAATTGGGAATGAAGCCGGGACTGAAAGTGAAGCCAGGACTCCCATGTGGAACACAGGCATTTAAACCACTAGGCCAAATGTCCTGCCCACAATTTAATTTTTTGACAAAGATATCAAACACAACTTAAACCACACCAAGTATATCATAAATAAAGCAATGTTCTTGGTATTCTCTCCTTTCTTTAGACATAGTAGTAATATAAGTCGAAATAACATGTTTGGAAATGATCTCCCAACAAAAGAGACATTTATAATGTATGGATAATAACAGTTGCATGTTAGAAACTTCATACTTTCTAAAAATTTATTTGAGAGCTACACAGAGAAACACAGAAGAATAAAAAGCTCCCATCCACTGGTTCACTCCTTAAACAGCCAAAACAGCTGGGGCTGGGAGCCAGGAAGGCAAGTCTCCCACAGTGGCAGGAACCCAATTACATGAGTAATCATTGCTGTTTCCTGGGAATCTGGCTGGAAACTAGGGTCAGAGATGGAGCCAGGAATCAAACTCACACTTAGATGTGGTAACTGCTAGGCTAAACATCTGTTCTACGTTAGAAACTTTAGAAGCTTTCATTCCAATATTCCAAACATTCAAAGGTCAAAATCCTTACTCAATAGAATCCTTAGACATATTATTTAAAGTGAGTTGCAAATCATTAAAATAAAGTACTTCAGGGAAGGCATCTGACACAGTTGTTGGGACATTAGGATACCACATGCCATACTGGAGTGTCTAGTTCAAGTCCAGGATCCTTCACTTCCAACCCAACTTCCTGCTGGAAGGCAGGAAATAATGGCTCAAGTACCCAGGTCCTTCCACCCACATGAGAGAATCAGACTGAGTTACAGGTTCCTGGCTTCAGCCTGGCCCAGCCCTGGCTGTTAATGGCATCTGGGGAGTGAACCAGGAGAAGAAGAACTCTGTTATTTATGCATCTCTCTGCCTTTCAAATAAAGGAAAATAAATACAATTTTTAGAAGTATTACTAGGAGGGCTGGCGCTGTGGCACAGTAGGTTAAAGCCCTGGCCTGAAGTGCTGGCATCCCATATGGGTGCTGGTTCTAGTCCCAGCTGCTCCTCTTCTGATCCAGCTCTCTGCTATGGCCTGGGAAGGCAGAAGATGGCCCAACTGCTTGCACCCCTGCACCCACGTAGGAGATCCAGAGGAAGCTCCTGGCTTCAGATCAGTGCAGCTCCGGCCTTTGCAGCCATCTGGGAAGTGAACCATTGGGTAAAGACCTCTGTTTTTGTCTCTCTCTCTCTCTCTCTGTAACTATGTCTTTCAAATAAATAATAAAATAAATCTTTAAAAAAATACTACTAGGTACAAACAACAAGCATACTTTTATTAGAAATCATTAAACATAATCTTATTTTGATGACAGTTCAAGATTTAATACTTTCCAACCTTTATAAACTTACCACAAATAATGTAACAAGGAAAAAAATCTGAAACTATATATTTATTAATAATAAAGTAGTAATCCTTCCTCAGCATAGCCATATCCTCTCTTGAGTTCAATATCTTGTCCAGTCATAATGATTTCCTCTCTGGATTAGCACTATTATTTCTTAACAGGGTTTCTTGCTTTAAATTTAAACACTCTCGACCAGCACCACGGCTCACTAAGCTAATCCTCCACCTGCAGCGCCAGCACCCCGGGTTCTAGTCTCGGTCGGGGTGCCAGACTCTGTCCCGGTTGCTCCTCTTCCAGTCCAGCTCTCTGCTGTGGCCCGGGAAGGCAGTGGAGGATGGCCCAAGTGCTTGGGCCCTGCACCCACATGGGAGACCAGAAGGAAGCACCTGGCTCTTGGCTTTGGATCGGCGCTGTGCGCCGGCCGCAGCGGCCATTTGGGGGGTAAACCAATGGAAGGAAGACCTTTCTCTCTGTCTCTCTCACTGTGTAACTCTGCCTTTCAAAAAAACAAAAAACAAAAAATTTAAACACTCTCCAGAACGATCCAACATGGGAAGCGAGATACACAGCAGACTCATAGAATGGCAAATGTCCTAAACAGCACTCTGGCCTCAGAACCGGCCCTTAAGGAATTCGGATCTGGCTGAAGAGCCCATAAGAGCATTTTAGGCATGGAAAGCAAGACACTCTGGCGAAAAAAAACAACAACAACAACAACAACAACAACAAAACAAACCTAAATGAAAGATCTCTGCGAGTGAGATCCCAGTGGAAAGAACCAGCCATAAAAGAAGGAGGTACCTTTCTCTGAAAGGAGGAGAGAACTTCCACTTTGACTATGACCTTGTCTAAATAAGATCGGAGTTGGCAAACTCAACAGGCTTCCATAGCCTTGGCAATTCATGACGAGCGCCTAGGGTGATTACTGATGCCATAAACAAGAGTGTCAATTGTTAAGACAACAACAGGAGTCACTGTGCACTTACTCCCCATGTAGGATATCTGTCCTTAATGTGTTGTACAATGTGAATTAATGCTATAACTAGTACTCAAACAATATTTTACACTTTGAGTTTCTGTGTGGGTGCAAACTGCTGAAATCTTTACTTAATATATACTAAATTGGTCTTCTGTATATAAAGATAATTGAAAATGAATCTTGATGTGAATGGAATGGGAGAGGGAGCGGGAAATGGGAGGTTGCGGGTGGCAGGGAAGTTATGGGGGGAAAAAGCCACTGTAATCCTAAGCTGTACTTTGGAAATTTGTATTTATTAAATAAAAGTTAAAAAAAATAAACACTCTCCATGCAACCTCTGCAAAGTGAGACAGAGACAGAGCTTCCACCTGCTGGTTCACTCCCCAAATGCCCACAACAACCAAAGTTGGGCCAGACCCAGACCAGGAGCCCAGAACTCAATCTGGGTCTCTCAAATGGGTGGCAGCAATCCAACTGTTTGAGACATCAACGCTACCTACCAGGATGTGCATTAACAGGGAGCTGGATTGGAAGTAGAGGCAGGCCTTGAAAAAAGCCAGCCCCCCGAAATGACTTGAAAAAAACAAAAACAAAGCTGATCATGATATTCTCATAAATTCTCCTGTACCTTCCCTCTAACTGCCTACCTACACCCTCAACTGCAAATACTTTCCCCCAACCAGGCTGTTCATTCTCCAGGTACTCTTTCTCATCATCTACCAATACCTTAACTTTCCCCTTTCTCTCTCATCACATAACTACGACTGTAGCTCTTTTTATGGCTAAATACCTGCCTCAATTCTCCTACTTTTCATTCTAGCCAACTTCTCTAGCCTAACAACTACAAGCCTTTCAATATAGCTTGAGATATAGAAAACATGTTACCTGGGAAGTGGCCTGGGAACTCTGAGAATCTACAAACATGAGTGGGTATAGGAATGGTATAAAAGATTTGTACTTTCAGTTGTACTTTCTTAAAACATTTGAAATTTTCCTCCATCTTACAATTTTTAAATCAAGTTTTAAAAAATTTAAATACTTTTCTAACACTAACTGTCTTCAAAGCCTCTGCTCTAAGACCAGAAATGGAAATAAGTCTGAACTTGCATATCCAAGTTATAGTAAAGGATACATGTCTAGTCTTGGTCCTAGGTTCACACCACTGAGTTTCAAAAACTCTGGAATTTCTGAGTGACAGGAATATCTTTTGTCTCTTGGGACTACTCCTGAGTTTATGTAAATGAAATGATTCAGTTTGCATGGGAGGGCCAGAAAGACCAAGCATGAGCAGGATGGAACTTTTCACTCCCACCAACCTCCTGGAAAGGGAGAGGGGTTGTAAATGGAGTTCAACTCCCCACATGGTCAATAATGTAATAAGACCCCAGTAAAACTCTGGCCACTCAGAGTGCCCAAGAGTTTCATGTGGGCAGGGGGAGCAGGTGGCACTGTTGTATAGTAGGCTGAGCAGAAGCCTGCATCCCATATGGCACTGGTTGGTGTCCCAGCTGTTCCTCTTCTGATCCAGCTCTCTGCTATGGCCTAGAAGAGCAATGGAAGATGGCCCAAGTGCTTGGGCCGCTGCATCAGCGTGTGAGACCCGGCTCCTGGTCAGCCCAGCGCTGGCCATGGTGGCCATTTGCGGAGTGAACCAGTGGATGAAAGACTTCTCTGTCTCTCCCTGTCTGTAACTCTATCTGTCAAATAAATAAATAAAACCTTTAAAGAGTTTCTGGAATGGTGAACACACTGACGTTCAGGGACAATGTTCAGGGGCAAACATCAGCAGTGATGCTTCTGACTCCAAGAGGAGAGGGCAAGAAAGTTCTGCATCTAGGACGACCTTTCTACATGTGTCCTATAACAAAACTAGAATCCTAAGTGCAGTGCTTTCTGAGTTGTCTAAGTATAGTGAGTTACAATTCCTGAGAGGGGCCTGAGAACCCTGAATTATAGCCGCTTGGGCAGAAGTGTGGGTGGCCCCAGGACATGATGTCTGAAGTGAGGACAGTCTTGTGAAGGACTCTGTCCTTCCATTGTCAGACTTAGTCCTATCACTGGTTAGTTAGTGTCAGAAACGAAGTGACTTGCAGGACACACAGTTGGTAGTGTATCATCAAAGCAGAAAAGTGGCTTCTAGAAGTCAAGTTTAGTATCACCAAGAAAGACTACTGTGATCAATTAGTAGTCTGCCATAAGAGCAAAGAGTGTAAGAGTGTAACATAATTGCCATTCTTGCCATATGCCATCAAGGAAACCTTTGTACCAAAAATGAACAAACTTATCTAAGGGTGAGAAATTAGTATTTCTACATACCTGGTAGGCAGTTTTTCGAAGTCAACATCTAAGAATTGTTCGTAGCTAGAAACAAAATTGTCCAACCACAGCTTCAGGTAATCCGGATCTTTCTGAAATAAGAAAACCATTGTAATATTAAATATGCCTGCTGGGGGACAGAGAGGGAGACTTTCACTTTAAATAGATAAATAAAGAAGAAATAATGAAATCTTTAAGTGATACTGAGGAAGACATACTTGTAGGTCTGTTTTAAAATACGTTAAATACAATGACAACTCAAATGACTCTCCACGTCACTGAAAGCCAATCTTAACAACGCCCTATCAGATTCTAAACAACTGGCCTTCTCATATCACTGTAACCTTATCCAGTTACTCCATATAACACTAGCCACCCTGGCTGTTCCTGGGACATGCCAGACATGCTCCCACCCAAAGGCCTTTACACTGGTTGGTTTTTCTATCCCAAATAACTGTTCTCCTAAATACAGGAATGGCTAACTCCCTCATCTTCTTCAAATCATTCTTTAAATGATAAATTTTCAATGATGCCTATTTTTAACCAGCTTTCTAAAAATTGCAAACATTCGTGCTGCCTTTGATCTTATCCAATCCTGTTTCCAAGCCCTATGGTCCTTCAACATATTCTATAATTTAGTTATTTATTAGTTCACTGACTGTTACCCTAGGAATGTAGGTTTTACAAATGTGTGGATTTTTCACCTTTTTGTTTACTAATAAATACTTAGTACCGTAAAAGTGACTGACGCCAGGCCGGTGCCATGGCTCAATCCTCCCCCTGTGGCGCCAGCACCCCGGGGTCTAGTCCTGGTTGGGGTGCCGGATTCTGTCCCGGTCACTCCTCTTCCTGTCCAGCTCTCTGCTGTGGCCAGGGAGTGCAGTGGAGGATGGCCCAAGTCCTTGGGCCCTGCACCCCATGGGAGACCAGGAGAAGTACCTGGCTCCTGGCTCGGGATCAGCGCGGTGCGCCAGCCACAGCGCGCCGGCGGCAGCGGCCATTGGAGGGTGAACCAACGGCAAAGGAAGACCTTTCTCTCTGTCTCTCTCTCTGTCCACTCTGCCTGTCAAAAAAAAAAAAAAAAAAAAAAAAAGTGACTGACGCCAAAAGGGTGCTCAATAAATATCTGTCCAACAAATTAATGAGAAGTGTAAAATGCACAAATAAGATCAAATTGGAAACAGATCAATATTAGTAATATAAAAAAATCTTCTAGGATATAAAGTATCTTTCCTACCTAGGGATAAAGAAAACATTTCTCAGAACATAAAAATCGTGAGTCAAAAGTAAAAAAAAAAAAAATGTTACTGATTAAATGTAAAGGCTATTACTCCTCAAAAGGTACCAATAAGAAGACAGAGGCTCGGGACAGACTTTAGCTTATGGTTAAGATGGTGGTGAAGATGCCTATGTCCCACATCAGGGTAACTAAGTTCAGTGTCTGGCTCCAGCTCCTAACTTCAGATTCCTGCTAATGCAAATTCTGGGAAGCAGCAGTGAGGACTAAAGTAATTCCTGCTACCCACCAGGAGACCTCGATTGAGCTCCTGGCTCCAGGATCTGCTAAGCCCTATTCCGGCCATTATGGGCAGTTGGGGAGTAAACTAGCACATGAGAACTCTCTTTTTCTGTTTCTCTTTCTCTCAAATAATTTTTTAAATGGTATCATCACTTGAAAAACAATTTGACAGTTTCTTTACAGTTAAACATACACTGATCATATGGCCCAGCCATTTCTCTTCTAGAGAGATGAAAACATATATCCATAAACAAACTTATACAAAAATATTCATAGAAGCTTTATTTTTAATAGTTAAGAAACAAACAAAAGCTCTATCAGTAGGTTAATGAATAAACATATTCTGGAATATTTATACAATGGAAGGTGACTCAGGAAAGAAAACAAACCACTGATACTCACAACATATAAAAGCTTCAAAAGCATTTGAGCAAAAGCTGCCAGCCTTCAAAGCATATACACAGTAGGGTTTAATTCATAAGAAATTCTAGAGCAGGCTATGTTGACAAAAAAATCGGATCCATGGCTACTTTTGGAATGACAAAAACGGGGAACAAGGAGACACAGAAAAGAACTTCTTAGGTGATGGAAATTTCCCATTTTTTAAAAAAGATTTATTTATTTGTTTGAAAGAGTTACACAGAGATGAGAGGCAGAGAGAGAGAGAGTCTTCCATCTCATGGTTTACTCCCCAACTGGTTGCAAAATGGCCGGAGCTGTGCTGATCCGAAGCCAGGAGCCAGGAGCTTCTTCCGGGTCTCCCATGCGGGTGCAATGGCCCAAGGACTTGGGCCATCCTCCACTGCTATCCCAGGCCACAGCAGAGAGCTAGTTCAGAAGTGGAGCACCCGGGTATACAACTGGCGCAAAACAGGCTAGGGCGTTAACCTGCTGTACCATAGCACCGGCCCCATTTCCCATTTTTTGATTAGGTAATGGTTACAAAATGTTTGCACATATCAAAAGTCATCATTTTTGGCTTGGGCCCCTGCCACCAACATGGACTCTTGACTTCTTTCTGCCTGGCCCAGCCCCGCTGTTGAACACATTTGGGAAGTAAATCATCAGATGGAAGATATCTCTTTTTTTTCTCTTTCTGTCTTCTCTAACTTTCAAGTAAAATAGGTTTTTTTAAAGGTCATCATTTCTGACATCTAAAATTTGTGTACTGGCCGGCGCCACAGCTCAATAGGCTAATCTTCATCTGTGGCGCCGGCACACCGAGTTCTAGTCCTGGTTGGGGCGCCGTATTCTATCCCGGTTGCTCCTCTTCCAGGTCAGCTCTCTGCTGTGGCCCGGGAGTGCGGTGGAGGATGGCCCAAGTGCTTGGGCCCTGCACCCCATGGGAGACCAGGAGAAGCACCTGGCTCCTGGCTTCGGATCAGTGCGGTGCGCCGGCCGCAGCACGCTGGCCACAGCAGCCACTGGGGGGTGAACCAATGGAAAAGGAAGTCCTTTCTCTCTCTCTCCCACTGTCCACTCTGACTGTCAAAAATTTTTTTTAAAAAAATTGTGTATTAGGCCGGCGCCGCGGCTCACTAGGCTAATCCTCCGCCTAGCGGCGCCGGCACACCGGGTTCTAGTCCCGGTCGGGGCGCCGGATTCTGTCCCGGTTGCCCCTCTTCCAGGCCAGCCCTCTGCTGTGGCCAGGGAGTGCAGTGGAGGATGGCCCAGGTGCTTGGGCCCTGCACCCCATGGGAGACCAGGAAAAGCACCTGGCTCCTGGCTCCTGCCATTGGATCAGCGCGGTGCGCCGGCCGCAGCGCGCCGGCCGCGGCGGCCATTGGAGGGTGAACCAACGGCAAAAGGAAGACCTTTCTCTCTGTCTCTCTCTCACTGTCCACTCTGCCTGTAAAAAAATAAAAAAAAAAAAAAAATTGTGTATTTATGGTTTGTAAATGACAACTCAATAAAGCTGAGTTAAAAAAATAATCCCTCAGAAAGAGGGATTTCCATTTCATGAAGGAGTGCCAGTTCAAGTCCCAGCTGTTCTGCTTCCAATTCAGTTCCCTGCTAATGTGCCTGTGAAAGCAGCAGCAGAAGGGCCATGTACTTGGGTCCCCACCACCCACATGGGAGACACAGATGGAATTCCAGAATCCTGGCTCTGGCCTAGCCCATCACCAGCTGTGTTGCTATTTGGGGAGTGAGCCAGCAGATGAACAATCTCTCTTTGCCTCTCCCTCTGTTACTTTGCCTTTCAAATAAATAAATCTTTAAGTATATATATATATATATAAGAATATATATACATATACACACACATATACAAGCTGCATCGTACTTAGTTTTTTTTTATTGCTTTCTCAATACTTCAATATGTGATTCAGGAGTTTTAGTCACTTAGTAATTGAATAGCCTTTTATATAAAATATACTTTATATATGTGTGTATATATATCTTTATTATATTATATATATATATCTTTATTAAAAGGCAGAGTTACAAAGAAACATAGGAGAGATAGAGAAAGATCCTCCATCTGTTGGTTCACTTCCCAGATGGCCACAATGGCAGGGCTGGACCAGCCCGAAGCCAGGTGCTTCATCTGGGTCTCCAATATGGGTGCAGGGGCCCAAGCACTTGGGCCATCCTCCGCTGCTTTCCCAGGCACATTAGCAGGAAGCTGGATCAGAAGTGGAGCAGCCAGGACACAAACCAGCACCCATATGGGATGCCGGCACTACAGATGGCAGCCTAACCTGCTGTGCCACAGCACCAGCCCCAGTCACTGAATAGTTTAAGCACTGGTTTTGCATGAAAAGAACCTAAGCAATGTATTTCTGAAAAAGCATTATACCACATATCAGAATCTAAAAGAATGTTCCCAGAATATACAGGAACTGTTGACCTTTTGTGTATTTGGTTTTTTCTATTAATATACTGTTCCAAACTCAGCTTGTAAATTACCACTGTTTACATCATCACTGAAAATGAAAGATGGAAATATCTCAAAGAACAACCTCTTGTGAGAAATTTTCTCAAGTTTCACTAGTTGCTTTTTCTACTTCCAATCAGAATGTCATTCATTTAGTCACTCATTCATTTTTCCATTCAAGATAAAATTCTAGAAAATACAAGTAGCTGGAGTTTTTCCTTATCGTTGTTCCTTTTTAATAGAGTAAAACCTCTCAGTAGAAGTGAGACATAAAACAGTCTCCCAGCATTATAAAGAATTCATGCATTTCTTTTCATATTTTATTGAGGAACTCTATAGTATCTGGGTCAAATTCTAAAGGTCAGGGCTACCAAGTGTTTGGCAAGCACAAAGTTCTCCTAAGATACTGAGCAACTATAAAGGAAAGAAAAGTACTTAAATATGGAATTTTTTTATTTACTGAGAAATGACATTTCAAGAAACTAACAATTTCTTGAGCATTTGCCTCCCTCACAACTATTCAGAGAAGGTGACTTAATTTCCCCCACTTTAGAGGTTAGAAAAGGAAAGTTCTACGATATAAAACTTGTCTAATGTCTCCTATCCATTTATGTTAGTGCTTGGAGAGGAAAAGGGGAGTTTAGTCATAATCACTAAACCCAAGGCCATAAAAAATTTAACACAGGGGCTGGCAC